CCAAGCTAAGCCAGTGGAGTGATGCTGGATGTTGCCATGGTGACCGCCAGGTTATGTGCTTCTGCCAGAGATTTGACAACACCGCTTCAGAGGCCCTTGTGCTTGTAGCTGCCAGAGCAGGTGAGCCTAGCCTCCTATGCCAAACCTGCAAGGTCCTTTAACTAAACAGAAGGGGTGAGCTTGGGCCTGTTGTGTAATTAGCGATTATAGGTACCTAGGTTAGAATCATTGTTTCCAGTACCAGTGGAATCCATGTGGTATGAGTCACAAAGAAAGAAATGAAAAAAAGGGAAGGAAGAAAGGATGGAAGGAAGGAAGGAAAGAATGGAAGGAAGGAAGGAAGGGAGGAAGGAAGGAAGGATAGACAGTAGGACAGTTATATAGAAATATATTTTACCACCATAAATGTCTCCCTTTTAAAATTTATAGTTCCGGCCCAATCCTATAATCCTGGCTACTCAGGAGGCTGAGATCTAAGGATCAAAGTTTGAAGCCTACCCAGACAGGGAAGTCAATGAAACTCTCATCTCCACTTAGCCAGTAAGAAGCCAGAAAGTGGAGCCAGATAGTAGGGTGCCAGGATTGAGTGAAGAGGCTAAGGGACAGTGACCAGGTCCTGAGTTCAAGCCCCCAGTACAGGCACGAACACGCGCATGCGCGCACACACACACACACACACACACACACACACACACACACACACAGAGTTTGATTGTTTTTGTAAGTTTTAGCAAGGATTTATTTGTGTAAAATGGAGTTAAAGTAAGGACAAATAGAAAAAGAGAAACATTTCCTACTCTCCATGCAGGAAATGGGAGTTTAAAACTCCTTCAATAGATTTTTAAGAACATATTCATGGTTGTTTTGAATCCATCTCCACCATCTGATTCCACAGCGTGTTTATACCCCTAATGTATTCCAAGTACAATAGCTGTCCTTCCTCACTGCCCCTCCCACCCCAGCTGCTGACAGCCACTAGCCTACTTTCTGTCTCTGTAGGTTTGCCTCTCAGGACATTGCATGTATTGTGAACCATGCAATATGTGGTCTTTCGTGGCTGCTGGTGGTGATTCCATAGTGCATCTTGCAGATGTTGTTCATTCAGCTCAGCATCTCAGTTTACTACCATTTACCAAATCACTGCTAAGCTCTGGGAAAATGAGCATGAACGAGGCTGTAAAGGGCCCTAACAGTACACTTAGCTGGGAGACAGATTCGGATAGATAGGATGAGGCTCAGCACTGGTGGCTCAGGCCTGTAATTCTAGTGACTCAGGAGGCTGAGATCCAAGGTTCACAGTTTGCAGCCAGCCCAGGCAGGAAACCCATGAGACTCTTATCCCCAATTAACTACCAAAAAATGAAAAGCCAGAAGTGAAGCTGTAGCTCAAGTAGAGCACTTGCCTTGAACAAGAAGCTTAGGGACAGCACCCAGGCCCTGGGGTCAGTCAAGCCCCAGGACCAGCACAAAAGAAAGAAAGAAGAAAGGAAAAAAAGAAGGAAGGAAGGAAAAAAGGAAGGAAGGAAGGAAGGAAAGGAAGGAATTGGGGTGTGGCACAGAGCATCAGGTTTGGGGTACATCAGGTTGGTAGATTCATGGGCTATGTTCTTTTCCATCCCATACAGCACATGGGGTCACCATGTGTCCCACAGTCCTACAGCCCCCATGTTAAAAGATAGGGCAACCTTCAGTTTTTCCTATTTGCTGACTCTTTTCCTTCCTTTCTTGGTAGCCTCATGCATACTCTTCCCTCTCTGCCTGGGAAACAACAGGTGCTTTCTTGCCACTACGTGCCCTGGGAACTGCTTGCTCATTATTCAGGTCTTAGCCCACAGGCCAGGCTGTCAACAGAACCCATAATGCAGTCCAGCCCTGGCCGCTGTGCCGGCCAGCCCACCAAAGACAGCAAGTTTCATATATGCGTCACAGCTGCAACTCAAAGCTGAGCTCTTGTTACTTAGTGTCTGATTTGCCCCTTTGGATTATAAACTCTGGGATGATAGAACCACGTGTTTGTTGTTGGTTGAGCTGTATGCCCTGGGACGGGCCCTCAAGCCTGACACTGGACACAGGTGCAGAATGGAAGAATGACATCAGTGCTCAGTAAGGCAGCATTTTATATTCCAGAGACGGTGAGATCTGTTGATTTCTTTTCTGTGCCTTTCTGTCACTTGCCACCAATTTTGGGGTAAAGTTAATCCCACGTGGCTTTTTCTCCTATAAAGGCATGCTTGTCCCCTGCCTGCCTTTCTGTCCTCAGGGTGGGAATGTGAGCTCATTGAAAGACCTGTAGTCTGCTTGAGGCTCTTGATGGACTCCCATTTGTGGATGTTATCTGCCACCTTTATAGTAACCATCCTGATTGGTTTTGCTGGCAGGTGACCTAGATAAGGCCCTGCACTGCCCTGGGTGCTTCCCGTACCTCCCATGCTCCCAGGTGCCATGCTTCCTCCCTTCCATAGAGTAGGAAAACATCATTGGCAGGAATTGATACTTCCTGACACACTGCTGCATCAGTAAACCCAAGAAACAGATGCCAGGAATGGTTTGATGTCTTTGGTCAATGAGCCACCTCATGAAATGCTGAGCCACAGAAACGCGCAGTGGTGTTCCTTTCAGGTTCTGTTCTTTGGTCCGTTTGATCGTCATTGGCTCAAACGCAAATGATGTGGGTCATTTTAGATGCTAATAAGAATACAGCCCTCCCCCACCCATGGGCTATTTTCCTGAAGCTAGACAAAATAATAGAGCAATATCATAGGATAAATTTATGACCTTGAACTAGAACAATCTCTGGCACATTTTATGGGCTGTTGACTATAGATTACGTGAAGAGATTCTTTGTGGGAACAGCTGCATCCTTTAATCATGTTGGCTGTGCCTTATGGCCCAGCTCAAGAATTTGTAGTGAAGTTCTTGGGCAATAAATGTGGGGGTTTTTTCCCCTTAAGTTCATTAGAAGCTTATTTAAAGTACTGTGAAATTATGGCCATGCTGAAGAGGTTGGAACTCATGATAGCTGAGTTCTATATAGGGCTGAGGATAGGGAAGGATCTAATATCTCCCCCCACACAATGCTGGAGTGGGATGGAAGAGGGACAAGTTAGAATAACAGTGTTAGAGACTTATTTGGGCATACTGTAGAGCATGAGCTTTAGAAGTAAAATAATACTAGCTAGGCATGGTGGCTCATGCCTGAAATTCTTCCTAGTTGAAAGGCAGAGATAGGGAAGATCACACTTTGAGGCCAGCCAAGGCAAAAAGCTTATAAAACCTTATCTCAGCTAATGAAAAGATGGGTGAAGTGGTGCATGTCTGTCATCTGTGGTACACAGGAAATATAAGCAGGAGGATCACAGTCCAGGTCAGCCCAAGTATAAATGACAGACCTTATTCAAAGCATAGTGAAAGCAAAAAGGGGTAGGAGTGTGGCTCTATTGCTAGAGTCTGCCTAGCAAGCCCAAGGCCCTGGGCTTAAATCCTAGTACCTACTATTATTATTATTGTTATTATTTGTTTTACTTTTTATCTATTTTACTATGTAGATCAAGAAGATTGTGTGAACTAAAGCCCTGCATTTATTTAAAAGACCTTAAAGCTATGCATTCTGGCATGCTTTGTTTTTCTGTTAGCTTCCTGGAAATGCTAGAAGTAGAAGCATTCCTATGAAAGATAAGGACACATAATATCTTCTCCAATCCTCAAAAATTATGTTGATAGTGCTAGAGTCTAGATACCTTTAAGGTCAAAAGAAGACTTGTAAGTTTGATGCAAATATCTATATGCTGAGCAATTTGTTTTTTTCTGGAAAGATATATCAGTTTGACAAGTTACTCAAAATTCCTTCTGCAGGAGACTGAGAGCCTTTAACTGAGGTCTTTCTTCAGCATATGGCTTCCAGGGAAGGGTTGGGAACTTACCTCCCTGAGCCCTGATCCTTGGGGAAACCTGTGGCCTCTCACCTGAGCCCAGGTGGACATTCCCTCAGCCCTGGGCCCGCTGTGTTCTGAAGGCTGGGCCACCGTGAATCCTGCCTGGAATGGACCCATTGGGGCCTAGCCTAGTACCTTGGACTGGCATGAGCTGCAGACTCAACACACCAGGGATCAAGCTCAGTTTTTCAGGGAAAAATGGGGTTGATGTTACCTGTGCATAGGAAGTTTTCATTATTCAATGATGTAAGAAACGTGTAAGTGAAAACAGAGAATGACAGCATGGCAGCCATCTTAAGCAGTCCGAATTTCTTTTGGTTAGGAGAAGCACTCCACGGTGCTAGAGTGTTTTGACAAGAACATCGAGGGGGTTAGATTATGCATGCACACATTGAGTGGGGTCCCTTGGCATGGACCATTTCCATGGAGGTTCTCTGACTGGACACTGGCTTGGGGTCGCCCCTCGGTGGAGGGTCTTATCTTATGTGCAGGCAGGCCCTCCTGCCTCATCTTCCCCATCTTCTCCTTGATGTGGTGAGATCTGCAGCACATCCATGGGACTGAGGCCCTTCCAGCAGAGGCCGGCTGAGTTTGCCAACCCTGGCGTATGGTGAAATGTTTTATTCACTTTGTGACTCGAGTTCATTTCATCTCTGGGAAACCATTTTCCTCCAGGCAGAGGCCTGCCCCCGTAGGGTTTTTATGCCACACCAACGGGATTGTGGGTCTCCGGTGAGACTTGTCTCTCTGCAAAAACAATTTTAGCTCTATAACTCACAGAGGTGGTTGGGAATCTTCCAGAAACCAGGAATATAAGCATGAGCTCAGGCACTGCTTGTGTGAGTTAAAGAAGTAATGCAAAGGCAGGTAAGAAGTGTAGAAATGATGACAGCAGAGGCCACGGGTATTTATTTGCACCTTGAGCAGTCCTTTCTTTTGGTCTTCCGGGGGCTCAAAGACAAATTGGTTGCTGGAGCAGGTGGGGAAGTGCATTCTAGGGACTGGCACTGGCAGTACCTAAAGCAAAAGTAATGCATTTCCTGTTTCCTCTCTGTCTCTCCTGCCTAGATTCTTTCGTCGGTGGAGTGATTGGCCTCATTTTTGCCTACATTTGCTACCGACAGCACTACCCTCCTCTGGCCAACATGGCATGTCATAAGTCCTACGTTAGTCTCCGAGTCCCCACCTCGCTGAAGAAGGAGGAGAGGCCCACGGCTGACAGTGTGCCCAGCGTGCCTCTCGAGGGGGTCACAGAGGGCCCCGTATGATGTGTGTCTAAGGAGGCTGGACCCTGTTCCACCCAACGCCATCCTCAGTGGAAAAGGTTTTCTGTAACGCGTTTCTCATCCGTTCCTCAAAGCCCTGTCCTCCCATCTACTGCTTCCATTGTGCCAATGGTGTTCCTCCCACTCTTCCTATCTCCTTTCAGCATTTTTGAATTTGCAGGGTTAGGACACCAGGATGGATCTCTTGAGAGATAGATACGGGGAAGGAGGCTGTCGGGGTGGGGTGGGCAGAGCTGGGCCAATTCCTCCATCTGAAATATCTGCTGTAGCCACCGCCTCCCTCTCTTTTCATGGTTGTGAAACATAATAAAACCTTCCACCTGGACACTGGGCTTGTTTCTCCGCCAGTTCTGTCTTAGGGTATCAGGCCTGAGCGGCTTGGAAGCCAGGGCTCCCGTGTAAGCTGTTGCCTTTACCTAGTGCGTCTCTCTGAGGGCTTTCATGCACAGAACTGCAGCTTGTGAGTCCGGGCTCTATGGTTCACTGACTTCTAAGGATTTGAGCACAGACCTTAATGAGTTAAAGACACACAGTGTTGGGCGGGTGGGGGTGGGGGTGTGTATCTTCCACAGTTGTCTCTTGACTCTTGGGTGCAGAATCCTTACATTTTTCTGGTCTAGATTTGGTGTGCAAATTCTGTATGTAGCCCAGTCTTTACTGAGAATTCTATAGCTCTTAGGAGTGGGGTGAATAATTTTATGGGCCAGGAAATGGGTGCCATGGGCCTACTGAAAGGGAGTTGCTGGGTGACCACTAGGTAAGAGGTAGAGGTAAGAGTTTTCCCCCTTTGGGATCTGAGCCTTGCAGAACTCTGCTCGAAGATGTCTTGGTAGGAGCAGAATCCCATTGCAGGCGAACACCCTCCATGGTAGTGTCTGAGGAGAAGGGATATAAGCAGAAAGAACAGGTGGTAGGTGGGGCTCAGGTCTTTGCCTGGTCAAGTGTGACCAGTCAGAGTTGATCTTTTTCTGTCTCAGTACAGAGCTCCTTGGCAGCTTGTTCTCCCAAAGATGATGGTATTCCCTTTACTCAGTTCTGATCAGATGTGCCAAGCGGCTCTCTAAACCCTGGGCCTGGCTCAGGCTGCCAGAGGATGCATCTTTGATGTCCGGAGAGCATCACTTTCTCACAGCCAGCCCAGCAGACTACACTTTGAAAGATACAGGCATCTGTGTAAATTGTCAGCTGAGCACCTAGTAGAACCACCTGCCAGGTGACACCATCAGGTCTGTGTGTGATCGCTGGTACAAAGGCTTGAATGCAGGGCCTCAAGCTTTTGCCTGCCTTTTTCACTCAAGGCTGGTACTCTACCACCTAAGCCACATCTTCACTTCTGGCTCTTTGCTGGTTAATTGGAGCTAAAAGCCTTATGGACTTGTCTATCTGGGCTGGCTTCAAGTTGCGATTCTCAGGATCTCACCCTCCTAAGTAGTGAGGATTATAGGCATGAGCCATTAACATCCAGCATCCATGAGATTTTTTTTGGGGGGGGGGAGGAATGGTCCTGGGGCTTGAACTCAGGGCCTGGATGCTGTCCCTGAGCCTCTTTGTACTCAAAGGTAGCTCTCTACCACTTGAGCCACAGCGCCACTTCTGGCTTTTTTTGAGGAGTTTATTGGAGATAAGAGTTTCACAGGGACCTCTCTGCCCAGGCTGGGTTTGAACTGCAGCCCTCAGATCTCAGCCTCCTGAGTAGCTAGGATGACAGGCATGAACCACCAGCACCCAGCTCCATCAGATACTTTTGATGGCCACGCTTTAGTGAAGCCCAAAGCTTCCAACCAAGCCATTGGTTTCTGAAAGTTACAACAGCTGCCCTAGCAGCAAGCAGCTTTAAAAGTGAACGTGAGGCACTTGAAAAGCCTCACTGTGGAGGATAGTCCTCATGCCCAGAGGAACCGTAGAGCTCAGTGCCAGGGGACAAGGGAGGGAGAGGGCCAGGTTTGGAGGCCCAAAAGTAGTTTGGGACAGCAAAGCTGGGCCCATATCCCAGGCAGGAGCATGGGAGCTGCAGAGCTGCCTTGCCATGCAGATGCCACCCTCCCCTCCCCATAAACACCCTCCCCCGCCACCCTGATTGTCACCTGGATTTCCTGATTAACTTGCATGGCAGGACCTTATGTAATTTGCATGGGTTGAGTCCCTCCTCTTCCTGCCTCATGTCTTGAGATTCTCATCTCCAGTACAATGTGACGCAAGTAGGAGATGGCCTTAACGAAGGTCATGTGGGGTCATGAGGTTGGACTGTCCTCCCAAGTGCAGGAGTCCCTGCACTGTCAGAAGAAATTTGGACACAGTTATACTCAGAAGGAAAAGGGCATGCTGAGGAAACAGACCCAGGAAGATCCAGCCCTATGGGCACCTTGACCACCATGACAATAAGGGAAAATTCTGAATTTTTTCCCTGCCCTTACACCCTTTCTCCCTTCTCTAGGGAACCAGCCTCTGGGGAGCAGGAATCCCCCTCTGTGTCATCACAGCCCAGTGGCCAGACGCGCAGCAGCGTATGGCTGCCATTATGAATGGGCACCTCCTTCGGTATTGCTGTTCTCCTACTCAAGGTGGGCTCACCAGGTTGAGGTTACCTAGGCAAGGCAACATTTAAAAGCAATAGAACTCTCCATTCCAGGAATCCTGGCAGTGTTTCCGGTGGGCCTTCTTGTGTACAATAGAATCTGAAAACAAAATAGACTGTCCTTTCCTTGTTGAAGGATCCGGAAGGCGTGTTCTCCGGAGAACGCTTCAGGAAGTTCAATTGCTGTGTGTGCTGTGTGACTGTCTCCTCTGCTCCGTTCTCCCTGTTAGCCTGCGTGTCATGTGTCTCTCTGTCAGCTGTGAGTGTGTGGGTGTGGGTGGTATGAAGGATGCCGAGTTGAGTGAGCTGCCCTAGGACTTCATCAGCCACCAGCACACTGAACGCTGAGCTCTTCTGTGGAACAAGGAACTCCTGGGAGGGAGAAACGTCTCTTGGAGCAGGCTATGTCATCTCATTATCATGAAAGTGGAAGGAGGAATCTCTCACGCTGTCGTTTCAGTAAGAAAAGCCTTTGAAAGTTGTATAATTACCTTCCCACTGGGGTCTTCATTTCCTAAAAGATGAGGAACTTGTGTTGAGCACTCGTTAGCTGATGGGGGAGGGCGAGGTAAGTTATTGAAATATTAGTTGGGTTCTGACCTTGTTGCTGAGGGAGGATCCAAAAGCTTGGTTAGCTTGGCTGGGCTGTTCTCTGGTCTCCCCAACTTCAGGGCCTGTGCTTCTGAGCCCTGGCCTGGGGTGGTGGTGGGGGGAGGGTGGCGGGGGAGGCAGAAGCCAGCTTTGTTAATGGCCTAAGGGTGTGCAGGGGACAATGCTGGATGTTTAGGCACCAAGGAGAGGTTGATCAAAGAAGCAGGTGGCTGTACTCTGGGCATGGTGGGAACTGGAGAGGAAACTTCCACCGTTTCTGCAGGGGAAGAGGTTTGTCTCTGTGATCTGTCCAGAGAAGAGGGGGATGGAGGGGTTGTAGCTTCTGCAAAGATGGGAACAGGGATGACAGAAATCTTTCCTTTTAGAGCTCCCTTTAGCAGGATCTTTGCCTTTAGAGCTCCCCATGGGTTCAGGAAGTGAATAACATATTCAGAAACAAAAATTATGGGGTTCACCAAGTATTCCTCTTCTATGGGACCCCAGAGCCCTTCTATCCCATGTTGTTGAATACAGATTCACCTCAAGGAGTCTGAATTCTTCACCAGGCCAGTGAAGTTAGACTGAGGACTAAGAGTCAAGCTTAATTTGATTTAAAAACAACAACAACAACCGGACATGTTTTGCCCACCTCACCAGGATTGAGATGGCTGGGATAAGATTGGATGGAATTACACAGGTGCCCTTCTTATGCTCTTTAGAATACTGCCTCTTACTCCATACGTGTGTGTGTGTGTGTGTGTGTGTGTGTGTGTGTGTGTGTGTGTGTGTGTGTGTGTAATGGAATCAATCCCAAGTTGTAGGGAAAAGTAGACTGAATGGGCAAGAGCAATTGCCTCAGAATTCCTCTGATCTTTAGCAAAGACACATACCGATGCTCACAGATTTACACCTCAGCTGCTCCATGGGCCTTAGGCAAGCTTCTTCAGTTTGTTAATGGCAGTAATGATGTTATTCCACAGGGCAATTATGAACATGAACTGAACCAATGCATGTAAAACACCTAGAAAAAAATGAGTAGCACCTGACAGGCACCTGAGAAATGCTCTTGCATTTGCTGTTTCTAACTAAGCTGGGAGAAAGGAACTATTAATCATCACCCACTGTGTTAGGCAGCTTTGCATTACAAGCAGTTGTCTGAGGCAGCTCACAAACAAAGGTTTATTTAGCTCAGTCCTAGAGGTTCAAAGGACAAGATGTCTGTGTCAGCTTGGTTCTGGTGGGGTCTCTCTTCGTAAAGGTCAAAATGAGAGTGCAAAGTCACATCTAAAACCAGGAAGACAGAGAAATGTGTGTGACCAAACTCACACTCTTACTTGTTATCCTTTTGTGAAAACTATTAAGGAGTCTTACAAAAACTACCTTCTGCTGGGTGCTGGTAGCTCAAGTTTATAATCCTATTTAGGAGGCTGAGATCTGAGGATTGTCGTTCAAAGCCAGCCTAGGCAGGAAACTTCATAAGACTTTTATCTCCAATGAGCCATAAGAAAACTGGGCATGGAGCTGTGGTTCAAGGTGGAATAGCACTAGCCTTAAACAGAAAAGCTCCGGGATAGTGTCCAGGCCCTTAATTCAAGTTCCACAACCAACAACAACAAGAACAAAAACAACACCTTCTGAGGTCACATCCTTGAGGCCTGAGGACTTTAGCTAGCTTCCATCTCCCCAGGACAGCAGCCTGCAAACAGATCGAGCCTTCAGTACCAATGTGGGACATTCAGCCCACACTCAAACCACAATATCCACCAAGGAATCTTTGAACCAGATGGCTTCTGAAGTTCTTTCCTCCTCGAACTCCCATGGCATGTATCTCTCGTGGCTTTAGTCTCTTCATTCTCTCCTTTTGATCACTAGTGGGCAAAAGCCCACTTCTAGCCAGTTAGAAGTTGGACTGAGAGTACAGTCGTTCAATACTTAGAAGAGAAAGATCTGAGGTTCACAGAAGACCAAACTACAACCCAACTCCTATGTCAGGGAGAAGACAGGTCAGTTTTGGCATAGGACAATGTGCTTTCGAGAGCTCAAAAGCATATCTTCCTGTTTTGGAACATAGGGAATGCAGCTCACCAAAGAGCTACTGACTAAT